CGGGCCGGCTCCGAGGGGCACGAGGAGGGGAGCCAGGCTCCCGAGGGGAAACCGAGGCTGGCAGGAGCACCGCTCGGGGCCCGGGTCCGTCCGCCGCGTTTCCAGGAGCCCCCGCTCCTCGCGGACCACGCCCCGGGGAGCGTCCCTCTGTCCCCAGGGCCCGCCCCGCCCTGCGATGGCGAGGGGGCAGCTGTTTACTCGGTGCGGAAAGGAAAGGGGGCGTCTCGTGTGCCCGCGGGGAACCGCGCGGGAGCCGCCCTTGCTTTGGGGGTCGCGGCCCCCGTCGCAGACCCCTGAGCTGCCCGTGGGGTCTGGACCTCAGCAGAGGGGTAGAGGCCTGGCAGGTACCCAGCAGCCTGAGCCTCTGGGGGACCAGCGGGGTGCGCAGTGGACAGGGGGCGACACACGACTCAGACAGAACGACTCAGACAGAACCTTTAATGCGCTGGCCCCACGTCTCCCAGCTCTAAGGCCTCCCAGAGGCCTGCGTGGTGGTTGAGGTCTGGGGGAGCTCGGGACGCCTCAGGCCGCTGGGGAGCAGGGTCTGGCCGAGCCCCCCCAGAGACATGCTCCAGGCAGAAGAGGTGGCCAGGCTGCAGGGGGCTTGTAAGGCCAGAGGCTGGGTGGCACCGAGGCGGGTCCTCTAGCTCTCTTGGTCAGAGGAGAAGGAGGGAGAGAAGTCCTGCAATGATGTCCCAGAAGTCACCCGCCAGGGGCGCGTCTGCAGGAGTGCGGTCTCATACTCCTGGAGGCAAAAACACAGTCATGGGCCAGCGGCTCAGCGCAGCCAGGCAGAGGCTCCCACCACCTCCCCACCAACCCCCACCCCTGGCAAGGCCAGCCTCAGCTATGCAGTGGGTGGGGCTGGGCTGACTCACCGAGTCCGAATCCTCGGCCGCGGTGGTGCTCAGTAAGTCGGCGTAAGTGTCCCGGGACACATCCTCCTCATATTCGGTCTGGTAGTCAGACTCATCTGGTGGAGAGCGAGCCGCATTGCACTGTTGGGCGCCCAAGGAGCTTGCCCAGCCAGCCCCGTTCTGGTCCCCTGAGGAGCAACCCCTCACCCTGCCCAGAGGAGGCTGCACTGCCTCAGCCTGCCAGGCAGAGGGGCAGCCTGCGTTCTGGGCCCATGAGCCTACTCCTGCGCTGGCAGCCCCATGACAGTCGTCCCTCTAGACCTAGGCAGCTTTGGGTAGGGCCCAAGGCCCACGAGGTTCTGCAGCTTCTGGCAAGGCCTGGCAGGAGCGC